ATCAAAATATGATGTTGATAATTTATTTCCCTTGGAACTCTTTCTACTGCTTTCAATTTTTAATTGGATTCTTTGTATCAAAGGAAAAAATATTTTCAAAGTTTGAATCAACTTATTTCACTTTTTCTAAAGAAAACAAATCTCAATTATTTTAATTTCGACTCCAAACATCCGTTGACAATAAGAAATTAATGGTTTAAAACAAAAAAAAAAGGTTTTTGAGAACTTAAACACTCCAAAATTCTCTTAATTGCTCGATTTGGCATTTAAAAGTTTGACTTTACAGTTTTTTTTCTTTGAACTTCTAGTTTAAAACGTTTCTTGGCTTTCTTTGGCTTTCTTTGGCTTTCTTTGGCTTTTCAAAACTGATACAAACTCATTTCCAAGTATGCCTTAGGGTTTATAAACGAGATTTTCAAGTTGACGTTGTTTAAAACTCGATTTTCATGTTACTTGGAATGGACTAGATCTCAATTAGGGAAAATTTCGACCCAAACTTTATTCTATCATTGTTTTCTTGGTCGATTGCTTTGTTTTCTTGGTCTAAATCTTGTCTAGACTTTATAGAGAAAATTTCAGAGGAATTGACTAAGAAACGGCTGTGAAAACGAATGGAATTAGTTTTTGATTGGCATTCTTTCATGCTTAGTCTTTAATCTAGAACATTACCTAAATATCAGAAACTATCTACCGTAAATACTTTATAGTACCCCACTCCCCTTGTACTGCTTTCAAATGATACCAAATAGAGCTTGATTCGATTTTTCAATCTCATGCACACAGGCGACACGACACCCAAGTCGGGTAGGCCACATTTGCTCAGAGTTAGCTCTGTTTTTCTTGGACACGATTATCGAATTAAGCTCTATTTGGTATCATTTGAAAGCCTGAAATGTCCTCTTTACAATGATATAAGAAGGTAGCAAAAATATTAGCTCTAGCCAAAGTTAAAAGCCTTCAAAAAGTGACGACTCGTTCAAGTGCTTAGTTTTCAGTATTTTGAATTTGCTCAGAGCTGGCTCTGATTTCATGGATTCGATTATTCAATCAAGCTGTATTTAGTATCATTTAAAAGCCTGAAATGTCCTCTTTAAAATACTATAAAAAGAGTTAACTCTAATATAATCTCCAGACAAAGTTATAGGCTTTCAAAGTGTGACGATTCGTTGAAAATACCCGGAAACAACGCAAGAGCAAAGACAATTACAGTAGATTTTGAAGAGAATAAAAAGAATAAAAAGAATAAAAAGAATAAAAAGAATAAAAGAAGAATAAGAAGAGATTTAGAAGAAAAGAATGTTAACTTTTAACAAATAAGGGCAAAAAAACGGTAAGTAAACCCAATGGGATTTGATTTTTCAGCGATTTTTGGCTAACCAGTGGTTTTTGATCAATATCAAGAGTAAAACTAGAAGATCTTTTGCTTTTCAACTTTTAACTTCAATTATTTACTTTAATTTTATGTATTTTAGTTCAGTTGAAAGATTTAGACCAATTTAGACCAATTCCAGCTTCCAGCTGACTCTTTCCCTCCACTCAACGATTTGACGTAAGCAAATTTTGACGTTTGTGTGTCCAATTGTGACTTTGAATAGCTTTGAATGGCTTTTTTTGAGTCTAATTGTTGGCTTTGTAGTTGCCGTGGTTGAACTTTAATGTATAAAGTCGCAAAATTGAAAAATAACTGCTATTTTTGGTCCTCAAAATAGAAAACTAGTCGATTTCTTTCATTTCTGACATTTTTCCTGTAAAATCGACCAGGTGATTTTTAAAAATTCTTCATTTTCAAAGCTATTTATGGGATTTTTGGAAAAATTGGAAAATGGGAAAAATTTCGTAAATCTGCGGAAGAGATTTTGAAATTCTCTTCAATTTCTCTTCAATTTCCATTCTCATATAGAATTATCATAGAACTTTAGCCACAACAACTCTCATAGACTTTCCTAGTGTCCCATAAAGTTATGGTTCTTTTACTTTAGTCACAACAACTCCCCTAGACTTTCCTAGTGTCCCTAAAAGCTATCGTTCTTTCACTTCAGCCACAACAACTCTCCTAGACTTTCCTAGTGTCCCTAAAAGCTATCGTTCTTTCACTTTAGCCACAACAACTCTCCTAGACCTTCCTAGTATCCCTAAAAGCTATCGTTCTTTCACTTCAGCCACAACAACTCTCCTAGACTTTCCTAGTGTCCCTAAAAGCTATCGTTCTTTCACTTCAGCCACAACAACTCTCCTAGACTTTCCTAGTGTCCCTAAAAGCTATCGTTCTTTCACTTTAGTCACAACAAATAACTTTCCTAGTGTTCTTTCTACTAAGAAAAGAACCATAGCTTTTATTGGATCTTTACGGTTAACACCAATTTAGATATTTGGGAGCCAATTTGGCCAACTTGCAGCTCATTTTTAAGTACCTTAAACTTGTCGGATTAGAAAGTTTTAATAAGATTTAGATAGCTTAAAATGTCAACTTTCAGAAATTATTTGTATCATCAAAAGCTATTAACAAAAAACTGTATAAAATCGAGCTGCAAGTTCGTCAAAAAATTGATCCCCGTTGCTAACCGTAAAGGTTCATTTTATTGGGTTATTAGGAAATGTTAGGTTGAGGAAAAAATAATGCGCGGTTTTTTTGGTGTAACAATTAATTCTCCAAGAAATAGCAACTATCGATCACTAAGGTATTCTCCATTTTTATCGATCTTCCCATCTTCTAACCATTGAAGATTGTGCCGTATGGAGTTGCTATCAGGGCCTTTGCTTTATGATAATCTGATATTAGTCTGATATCACTAAGGGATTCCGGATTTGATGACTTCTTTCCATCTTCTAACCATTGACCATATCAACTCCATTGTGCCGAATGGAATTGCTATCAGGGCCTTTGCTTTATGCTAGTCTGATGTCACTAAGGTATTCTCCACTTTTATCGATCTTCCCATCTTCAAACCATTGATGATAGTGCCGAATGGAATTGCTATCAGGGCCTTTGCTTTATGCTAGTCTGATCTCAGTCTGATATCAGTCTCAGTCTGATATCAGTCTCAGTCTGATCTCAGTCTGATATCAGTCTCAGTCTGATCTCAGTCTGATATCAGTCTCAGTCTGATCTCAGTCTGATATCAGTCTCAGTCTGATCTCAGTCTGATCTAAGTCCGATATCAATCTAATATCCTTAAAACAGAAAACTAGTTGATCTCTTCAATTTCTGAGATTTCTCCTGTAAAATCGACCAGGTGATTTTGCAAAAAAATTCTCCATTTCCAAAGCTATTTATGGGGATTTTTGAGGAAATCTTTTGGAAAATGGCAAAAATTTCGTAAATCTTCGCAAGAGATTCTGAAATTCTCTTCAATTTCTCTTCAATTTCTCTCAATTTCAATTCTCATCTCAAATTTCATTCAAATACGACGCAATTGACTGCTGATTTTTCTTTTCTAAATTGTCTTTTTGTCTTTTCTTGTCTTTTTCTCTATTTTCTTGTCTTTTTTCTCTTTTTTCTTTTTTTTCTTCTCTTATCTTCTATTTTTGAATCGAAAACCCAACAATAACATTTAAAATAATAAAATTTTAATTAAAATTTGGTGTTTCGAAAGATTTCCTTAAAGAATTTGATTGTTTTTCAATTGTTTTTCAATTGTTTAATTATTGAACGCTTGGAGAAAATTCAGAGGAGGTTCACAAAAGTCGCTTTATGGAAAATTGACTATTCTAAATATTCTAGCTTTACTTATGAGGAGAGACTTGCTTTTTTTTGAACTAAAAACTTTACAGCATCGTCGCTTTGTCATTGATTTAGTCGAAACTTTCAAAATCCTCCGTAGTAAACAGATTAGCCCTTTTTTTATAGACTTTTTCAAATTTAAACCGTGGTCAGGGCCCAGAAGTGGCTCATTCCTTTTGCAAATTCCCTTTGCTTCCAATGCCTCTTTATCAAATTCATTTCCCGTTAGAGCCGCTTAGAGCCGTTAGAGCCGTTAGAGATTATGGAACTTGCTCCCAAACGACATACGAGAAATTCAGTCGCTTTTCATATTCAAGAAACGTATCGATGCTTTAGATCTAGTGGCTCTTTGCCGTAAGTAATTGGCTTATTGATTTCAGTATGTATTGTATGATTAAGTATCACTGTGCATTTCTCTATCATTTCTTTCACTTTATCGTTTGAATAAAGTATTATTATTATAATTAGTTTTTCTTATCTTTTTCTTATTATTGGGTTGGTGAATCGAAAAACTGCGGGCTATTGTCATATGTGACAGTTTGAGCACTTTCTTCAAAAGAAACCCATTTTGTTATCAATGGAAAAGTTGTAGAGGATCAAAAATTAAGCTTATATCCAAATTTTCAGAACGATTCAAAAACTCGTTTTCAAGAAATTCCAAATTTACGAATTTTCACAAAACTTGCATTTTAAGCGAATCTACTAAGTGTATCTTTTTGGAAATTTGGCTATAAGCCTAATTTTTGATTCTCTACAACTTTTCTATTGACACCAAAATGGGTTTCTTTTTGAAGAAAGTGCTCAAACTGGGCTACAGTGACATCTCCAGTCCTCCATTTTTGAGTCTCACACTTGTCTCACACACAAACCAAAATCCTACTACGAAAGAGGAATCCGCAAATTGCCTGTAAAATGGGCAGAATTCGTCAATAATAATGAAAATTATTTGGAATGAATTTATGGTTTTATGTTGAATAAATTTTAGTTCAAAGTCCGGCAGTTTCCAATTCACCAACCCAATAGAATGCATTCTGCTTTGTTTAAACCGTTTTCTAAACGATTTTCTTTCTCTTTCTTCTCTAAACTTGTCCAATCTTTGATAAAAACTATCCATTTCAATATCCTTTCTAAACCAGATCACAAAAAATTGAATAAATTCGATAAAAAGAGACAAGATTACGGTAGAAAGAAGACACAATTTAGAAAAGCTTCATTTAAATTCATTTCTTTCCAAACTCTTTCAAATCAACACCTTCACGAGAACCAATTTGAGGGTTAAATGAAAAGAATCGTTTCGTTGATTCTCACTTTCACGATTGCCTCTGAGGTGCTCTCTATTCAATGCTGGTACGATAGGAATAATGCCGAGAGTCTATCGGATGAAGTGAGTTCAGAAAATCCTTCAAATACTGCAAATATTGTACAGATACCGGAGTTTTTTCACCGTCTTTTGAAAAGTTTCATAAAAAAGCTACCGTATTCCAATTAGTTTGAAAAATCGAGCAAATTTCAATTCAACTCCCATGCCCAGTTTTCAAGCGCAGTTTCTCAATTTCAAGTTCTATTTCCAGGCAGAACAAGTTGATTGTGCTTGCGGTGATCACTGTTTGTTCACTGGTGACGTAAGTTTTGAATACTTTAAACTAAACAGAAAGCAATCGTACTGTTTATTCATTGGTTACCTAAGTTTTAAATACTTTAAACTAAATTTGCTCAAAGTCGATTGGGTTGTCCAGTTATGAATGCGCGTTTTTACTATTTTGTAAATTTCTCAAGATATATGTATATGAGTATTATATATCATTCGAAAGCTGAAGATCTCCTCTACATTTTGATATAAAAAGTTTTTGAATTCATTCAACTTTTTGGGAAATTGACTGCACAAAGGGAGAGGTCGTTTTCGAAAAAACCCATTTCAGCTATTCCTCAAGTTTTATGGTGTAAAATAACCGCCCAGAAAAGAAAAGAAAAGTAAAGATGCTCTCAAATTCTTATATTTAAAAAAAGTTGTATTAATATATCTATTGGCCAAACAGCAAACGGTTAACTCAATTTGAGAGGAGCCAAAACTTGATCCAAAAGCACCCTTCCATTTTTTGGCCACCTCTTCTTCTCTGCAGTCAATTTTCCCAAAAGCTGGACAAATTCAAAACCTTTTTTTATCAAAATGTAGAGGAGATCTTCAGCTTTCGAATAATACTCATATATATCTTTTTCTTCATTTCGGTATCTTGAGAAATTTACAAAATAGTAAAAGACGCGCATTCATAACTGGACAACCCAATAGAAAAGAAATCGTACGTTTCTTCATTAGCTACCTAAGTTTTGAGTGCTTTAAACTAAATAGAAAGCAATCGTACTGTTTCTTCACTGGCTACCTAAGTTTTAAATACTTTAAACTAAATAGAAAAGAAATCGTACGGTTTATTCATTGGTTACCTAAGTTTTGAGTGCTTTAAACTAAATAAACCAAAATTCCAGAATTTGACTCCAAGATCAATACGAATTTGTGGTTGTGTGATTACAGAAAGTGGAGAAGAGCATTTATGTCAAGTGGGTTTTGTTTGTTATTGGGAAATTTTGTCTAAAGATTTGTCAAAAAGAACTACTAAAAGATGCGCTCAAAAAAGAAGCAACCGTATCCTAATTAACTCTTAAATCTAGTCAAGCTTTTTGTCTAAGTCTAGTTAAGCTTTTTCAGTAGAGAAATTTTGTCTAGTGAAAGCATAGAAACAGTTAAAGTAGGCTGGATTTAGACTATGCTGATCGTTTTCTAAAAAATGCTTTCCAGAAAAGCTACCGTACTCGGTTTACTAATAGTCTTTTAAGACAGTTTTCCAATATCCAATCTTTTACAGCACGATGAGCAAAGTATCCACGAAGCTGGCTATTTCAAGTGTTGTCAAGGTGATCTCTGCAACACAAACTTGTAAAGATCGATTTCATCTCAAATTTTCGATAAATCGTTGATTATTTTGAAACCTTTTTTATGCTAAAGATTGAAAGGTATATAAGGAGAAGTAAGTAGTTAAAAATATAATTTAATAACCTCATTTATTAGGTTGGTAAAAAAGAAATGCGCGTTTTCGTTAAAAGTTTATTTTATTATAAAAACAAGATAACAATACATTAATCCAAAAGGTATTCGCCATCTGCATCAATGACTTGTCGCCAACGTTCACGCAGAGAATGGATGTCCTTCTTGAAGAACTCGACTGGCTGCGACTCGAAGAAGTTGGACACCCAAATTTGGACCTCGTCGCGGTTCTTGAACTTTTTCTCGGCCAAGGAGTGGTGCATTGATCGGAACAGATGGTAGTCGGAAGGCGCCAAGTCTGGGCTGTATGGCGGATGAGGCAGGACTTCCCAGCCCATTTCTTCAATTTTCTGCTGGATGATTTTTGCGACATGCGGCCGAGCGTTGTCGTGGAGGAATTTTGTCGACACCATATCCACACCTTGACGTCGCAGCGCCTGGTCCACGCGGTCCAATTGGCCTTGGTAGAGGTTCGCCGTAACTGTTTGACCCGAATCCAGAACCTCAAAATACACCAGGCCTTTACTGTTCCACCAAACACAAAGCATCACCTTTTTTCCGTGGATGTCCGGTTTTGGAGTCGGTTTTGGAGCTTTTTCCGTCAAAACCAATCGGTCGATATAGCTGAAGGCGAGTGATTTCGAATTTTGGAATTTTCTCAAACACTTGAAGCGATTTGTTCTTCTAAATTTTTCGAATTTAAAAGTTTCAAAGTATTTCTTAAATCGTAGCCTTTAGAAAAGCCATCGTATTTCTTCTAGAAAGCTTTTTCTTTTAGAAAACTTCTAACAAAAATTTACCTAGAAATTAGAAATAAAACAAAAATAGAAAACTCTACCTGAATCTCAGTCAGCAATTTTAACACTTGAGATGCGGGTCGCCGAAACCCTCTATCGAAATGAGTGCAACTAAACTTGAGCTCGTTTATGTTTAAAAAACTTTTATGCCAACTTCTCGACGATCTCAGCCAATTCCTGGAAACCGGGACACTTCGGGGTTTCGAGTGGAGCGAGATTTCCCATGGGAGCGTCAGCGCTGAACTCGTGCTGGTTAAAGGGACCATCACCGACTTGATACTCGGAAAACACCAATCTAATAAAAAAAAACTGGATAACTTTATAAACATATCTAACTTTCTTACGATCATCTCCCAAACGACAAGCCCGAGCGAGTAGACATCGTTGAGATGAGAATTCTAAACTGATGATTAGCTAGTGAGCTTGCTCTAAGCTGATTGGCCACCTGGACATTAGCCTCTCAATCTTTTTCATAGAATTATCAGATCTGTAAGATTTTGGTATCATTGAAACCCGGGATCGAATGACACTCGTTGTAAGCATTCAGATCTGACATTCGGATTGAACTAATGTTTGGAGTTCTAATGTCCATCGTTCCGTTGCACTGACTTTTAAATGGTCGTCCGTTTTTGCTGGTGGCGGAAGATATCGAGGAGTGCCGGTCACCGATCTTGACTTTGATTCTTCACCCTTGATGATACTTCTCCCGAAATCCCCAATCTTCAAGACAAAGTGCTCGTCAACGAAAATGCTAAAGATTGAGTGATCTTGTTGTTGCTAATTTCTAAAGATTATAAAGCTTATTAACCTAGAACTCAAGAAAAATAGCCGACTTGCACGGTTTCAAATCTCGGTGTACTCCTCGCTTGCTCCAGAAGTATTCCAAGCCCTCGAAAAGTCCGGTCGCCCAAACGAGCACCGTTCGAATCGAGTAAGTGTATTGGGCATTGTACAAAACTGGAAGCGCCTATCTGGAAATTATTCAAGTGAAAACCAATAATATATAATTTAATTAATAATAATTTGATAATTTCCCCCGTTCACAGTACTCCATGAATATTCCATGTTTTATGCTGTCATCAATCCACTCAGGAGTCAATCCCTTTTGGGTGAGTCTTACTGGCTTAAGTTATAGCCATTTGAATTTCGAAAAAAAATCAAGGCTTTTCTCGAATTTCTGGCACACTGATTTTTGCCGGCGGAAAGGCCTTTTTTACGCCATCTTAAAAGCCAGCTCGTAGCCTAGTGGTTAGTGTGCCTGCGCTCGGAAACTATTGATCTTGGTTCGAGTCCACTAGCAGTCAAACTTTTTGCAGACATTTGAATTTTTTCGTTGTTGTTTATTATACCGAAGTTGGACAATAAGTGATTGGGCTGGGTTGGCTTGAATTTAAGACGATAGCTTTTCAAAGAGATCTTTTAGAAAATGGTTTAATTAAAAGGTATACAAGGTTACAGTGGTTTTTTTGAAAGTTTCCATTTTTTAGAAAAAGCTCTAATCGAGAGTAAAAGAGTTTCTTCTTCACGTCAACAATCTATCACATCATTACCCTCATTTCCCACACACAATCCATTCGATTTGAGAATCTGTGAGAGGATTTCCCCCCAATTCAACAATGACCTTGTCCCTTTATTTTCCAAAGAGAATAATGGGTGATTCACCCTGGTGAGAACTCGCAAGGATTCATTTTAGAGACAACAACAATTTGAGAGAAATAGAGAAAGCCAAGCCTACCTTTTCCCCTTTCCCATCTCAATACAAACATTTCTTTTCTTTTCCATTTCTTACCTAAGTCGTTTTAAAATTTACCTGTACTTTGGATTTAAAATTTACCTGTACTCATTTTGTTTCTATTTCTTGATTTTGTAAAACTTTACTCGACTTAGTAAAGCTCAGTTACAGCTACAACTACAAAAAGCTGCTTGATGCAACTGCAAAAGCTGCTTAGGTACTTGTTGACAAGTTCTTGCATGACTAATGCTTGGTAAAGTTTGCCAAAATCAAGGTCAACATCGAAAATTCCGTAAGGATCTACGTTGCTTGCTTGAAAGCTTAAAACTATGCGTTTCTTTTTACCCAAACGACTGTCAACTCTCTTGATAATACAGTGAACAATAGCTGTTTTTACTAAAACTTCAATGATATCCATTTAAATACTAAAACATTTAAATAATAGTTTCAGTAACTAACGACAAATTAAATCTACTATATAATTTGAAGGCTGTCCTTTTCCTTTACAATGTAATTGAAGGCTGTCCGTCCGTGTGCACGAAAATTTTTCGAGGCGTCGAGGAGTAGCCGATGGGATAGTTGATCTCCAGATTCGTGGATTGTGGGTCCGGATCCAGTGAGATCTTTTTTGCTTTTTTGTTATTCAATGAAAGAAGTTATCTTTGCTATGAATTATATACCGTATTCTCTCTAATAGTAGTGCCTTTTGCGCTTTACCTAAAATTCCTCGAAATCTCGAGAACCGCTTATCAGAACCTATCGATGTGGGGTCGGGAAATGTAAGCTGACGATGAGATCTAGTGGGGGATTAGAGTGCTGAGCTTCTGGGAAAACTTAGAAACCGTAAAATAGTCACCAACTCGGCTCGCTGGGGTGCACTACTATTCGAGAAAATACGGCAAATGGATTCAAAATTCTTCAAGCTCAATCAAGCAAGGCTTTTGCCTTTTGCCAGAGAGCCTTTTGACTTGAATCTAGTGCGCCAGAATACCGTATTCTCTCTAATAGTAGCACCTTGATCGTCGTCTAAATTCCTCGAAATCTCGAGAACCGCTTATCAGAGCCCATCCAGATAGGGGGTCGGAAAATGTAGCTGACGATGAGATCTAGTGAGGGATTTGAGTGTTGAGCTTCTGGGAAGAGTTAGAAACCGTAAAATAGTCATCAACTCAGCTCGGCCCGGTGCACTACTATTAGAGAGAATACGGTAATTGTAAAATGTTCGTCTGTCAGAAAAATCAGGGAATGGGTTTCTCGGGCTGAAAATTGATACCCAGGCACTTTCGACTCCTTCATGCTGAACCTAAAGTCAGTTTTGAGGCCTATTTGCAAGTTCGTAAACGGGTTTGACCAAACGGAGGTGGCGTGGTCGCTACTCAGCGCTTGGCCTCAGTTGACCAATCTCGATGTACGCTATATTTTTGAATCAGACAATTTATATATAGAAAATTTCTCAGTGCGCCTGGTCAAACAATTTTAAAGCTTTAAATTTTTAAAAGTCATAAACTTAACTCAAAACAGACTCAAAACAGGACAATTAGTTCAGAAATTTTTAAAAACTTTTTATATCCGAATTTTCTTTCATCAAAACTTGTCATTTAAGAAACTGATAACTTGATTAGTTCTAGTTTTGTTGCATAAGCTCATGATCTAGCTTTTGTTAAACTACAATCAAAATCTAGTATTCTTATGATTCCGCCTTTCAAAATCACTCCTAGAATTCCAGATCTTCACACCTTTTCACCTTCTTCCTTTTCTCTTTCCCCTTCTATCTTCTTCCTTTTCCTTTTCCTTTAGAATCCCCAATGTTTACAATGCTTATCACGTCCCCCAAAACCCATTTTTTCCTTTATTTTTTCTTTCCCTTCCCTGAACATTTTTTATTTCCTAGCTTTGCCAATTTTCCCCCATTCCTCTCAAAGGAAATTCTTCAAAAATCAATGGTTTCACCTGATTGCTCACCTTATTGACTCATCAAATTGTTCTCTCGCCTTAAAACTTGCAAAATACAACCTCTTTCCGAAACTCGAAACTCGCCATCTGTCTGGTTGTTGCTTGTTGTCAACAGAAGGCTCAGCTAGTTGTTAACAGAAGGCTCAGCTAGTTGTCACTATAAGGCTCTGATTTGGTGTCAACAGAAAGGCGCTCTCTGTTTTGCACAGAAGGCTCATAGTTGGCACTATAAGGCTCTGATAGTCAACAGAAGGCCCAGCTAGTTGTTAACAAAAGGCTCAGCTAGTTGTCACTATAAGGCTCTGCTTGTTGTTAACAGAAGGCTCTGCTTGTTGTCAACAGAAGGCTCAGCTTGTTGTCAACAGAAGGCTCAGCTAGTTGTTAACAGAAGGCTCTGCTTGTTGTCAACAGAAGGCTCAGCTAGTTGCTAACAGAAGGCTCTGCTTGTTGTTAACAGAAGCCTCAGCTAGTTGTCACTAGAAGACTCTTTTATTTCCTAGCTAAAATACATGCAAAAATTATAAAAAAATCAATTTTAAAGAATTTTCTTTAACAACTTCTGTTTTTTTATTACAAAAACCTTTTGATTTTCATTTTTATTTAAAAACATTTCATTTCTAAACAAAAAAAAACCCGTTTTTCTCACATCTTTTTCAAAAATTTCTAACTTCAGCTGTTTCAGATTTATGTAAAACGATAAAATGATGAATGATAATCGAAAATCACCTTCTCGACGCGGTATTATGTTTTTTGTGGCACTAATGGTCTTCATCATTGGAATCCAGGTCAGAGAGCTAATTTTTAAAACGGAAAAAATAATAGACGACTGTGTTTAATAAAGATTCTAGTTGAGCAAATTATGCGCAACTTTAGAATAAAAACTAACGTTCTTATTTGTTACTGTCCATGTCTAGCAAAGGATAATCAACTTTGGAATCAGACGAAACTTGATTCTAACAGAAAGAAAGAAACAGAAAGAAAATGGAAAACAGAAAGCAACGCAAAATAGAAGCAGAGCTTTCACTTGTATTTTGTGCATTGTAGATGTAAAGTGTTAATTTAATCTGGAAGCCCGATTAGTCGAATCGGATCGGATCAGGTTAGCCCGCTCAGTTGGATGGATCGGACCGGACCGGGATCGATGGGGCTAGCCCGATCGGTCGGATGAATCGGATGGATCGGATCGGATCAGGCTAGCCTGATCAGTCGGATGGATCGGATCGGACCGAATCAGATCGGGCTAGCCCGATTAGTTGGATGGATCGGATGAATCGGATCAGGCTAGCCCGATCGGTTGGACGAATCGGATCGCATCGGTTCAGGCTAGCTCAGGCTAGCCCGGTCGGTTGAACGGATCGGATCGGCCCTGAAAACCCGATCCGATCCAATCCGATCCTATCCAATAACCATATTTACGAAGCAATCCCGAAACTCTCCCAAATTTCCAGGGAACCTATCTCGGCTATGTTGTCGGGGTGTTGACAACTCTAGAGAAAAGATTCGGGTTCACGAGTGAGAAAACGGGGTTTCTTCTCTCATCTTATGATCTCGGACACACGATTGCGATTCTTTTGGCTGGATATTTTGGATCAAAAGGACATTTACCGAGAATCACTGGAGCTGGTAAAGTTTTCTATAGCTTTCGATCTTTCAAAATCTGCTGGTGTTGTTGTCAAAATCTGTTGTTTGGGTAAAAATCGTGCATTTTGTTCTAGGTGTCTTTCTGAGCGGCCTTAGCATGCTCCTTTTGGTGCTCCCAGCTGCAATCTTTCAATTGAGTGAATCCGAATCAGAGAAAGATCTCAAATTGGTGAGCTACTTTCTAAACTGTGTTCTCTTTCCTTTCTGCCGTAATCTTGTCTATTTTATTCATTATTATATCTTATCTTTTGATGTGCTTTTTGGAATTTCAGGAGCGTTATTCTCGTAACTTCAAATGCAATGCTGATCGTTATGAGTCAAGTGAAAGTAAGAGAATTTAAAAATAACCAAACAAAATCTTTAAATTCTCAGCTCAAAACTGTGAAGATGAACACGAGGAGCATTTGTGGGCATTCATTCTCTTATTGATCGGTCAATTCTTTGCCGGTGTATTCGCGGCTCCATTCAACACTCTAGCCTACGTTTATATTGATAACAATGTGGAAGATCGGAGGCAATCACCGTTTTTATTGGGTAAACGATTCTTATTAGCAATAGACAATAGCAAATGGACTTTGTGCTGAAATCTGCAAAATCTGTAATGTACATTCTGAGTGAACCGGATCCTGCACCGATTAAGCAACGAAATCGTTTAAAACAATGAAGAATTTAGTGCACCAGAAGGTTTATGTTTAAAATGTGAAACCAGTATACTTGCCTACAATACATTCAAAGCTGTGTGCCAGAAAATAAGCGTTTATATTTGCAGGTCTTTTGACAAGTATGTATGCTTTTGGACCAGCGTTGGGCTTCGGACTTTCAGCGTTAACAACAAGGATCTACACAACTTTAGATGAAGGTACAGTAAACTACAGTATGCCGGAACCTTGTCACGTCTAGTTTCTAGATACAACAAGCTACAGTAGCCTTGTTTCGTCTAGTTTCTAGATACAAGCTACAGTAGCCTGTTACGTCTAATTTCTAGATACAACAACCTACAGTACCCTTGTTACGTCTATTCTCTGGATACAACAAGCTACAGTACCCTTCTTACGTCTATTTTCAGCTCCACATCATATCTCGAAATATTCAACGGATTGGATTGGTGCCTGGTGGGCGGGTTTTCTTGTCTGCGGCTTCCTCTACCTCGTCTCTGGCTGTGCCATATCTCTTCCCAAAATCTTACAATTCACAAGAGGTACTGGAAAAAGATAGGAATTTTACATTGAAGTTTAAAGGGTGTCGAAATGCATCCCTCAAACATCCCCATCTTCCACCAGGCACAATAACAGATGAACCAAAGACAAGCTGGACAGAGCTCGTTGAGAAGTGTCGAGGTAATTTGTTTGGAAGTAACTCCAGAAAGAGAAAATCATCCTATTGTTTTAACACAATTTGAGCTTACAGTCGCGTAGTTTTTAACTGTTTTACTGATAATTTGGGGAAGTTAAGCTAATAAAAAAGATACATTTATTGAAAACGAATAATGTGATACAAAAAATGGATACATAATAAGACAGGTAGACACAATTTTATAGCACTGAGACTGTCGTTAATTTACTTTTACCCCTATTACCCAAATGTTGTGAAAGAAAAAACCCACTTGGGTGAGTAAAAGAAAGATTTTAATCTTGCAAGCGTGATTTACCCCTCGACCTTTCGGCTTAAGAGAGACTCGGGATTTCGCAAGACTCCTAACCGGTCGATCATCTGGCCCAGATTATACAGGGTGACCAGGAATTACTGCATCACATAAAAGGCCTGGTTCAAATAACCATTAACCAAAGCAACCCCATCTCCAAAATGCACATAGAATTTTCTTAATCACCTTGTATAATGATTTGATAGCGCTGAATCTTCTCTTGAAAACTAGTACAAAGTTACTGAGAACTTTTCTGCAAAATGAGTATAAAAAAGCCGGAAAACTTGGAGTTGAAACCACGAAATCATGACATTAGTAAGATCTTTCCAGTGAGCCGTATCTTCTGCGGAAGGTCCAAAGTGTATTTGTGAAGGTCCGTGCTCTAAAGCTGATCGTTCTAAATCCTTTCTATCATTCTAAACTCATCTATCGTTCAGAATTTCCTTACGTGGTCCTCGATCTATGCAAGAATCCCGTCTTCACCTCAATGGTTGTTGGATGGACATTTGGTAAGAATTTCAACTCTACAACTGGATTTCAGGTCAGAGCTTTACAAAAGATGATTTTTCAAAAATCAAAACATTTGACATTCTTTGTTTAGATATTTAAAGGCTACAAACATTTTTTTTTCCTAGATTTATTGGAAATGAAAATTGAGGGATTTCAATGAAAGCTTGAATGTGAAAGAATAAGGAATAGAATAGTGTAGAAAGGATAAA